GAAGTTTTAGGTCGTTTTGCCGCAGAAATCGACTTCGATCCAGAGCCGCCCGGTGGAGGAGGAGCAGACCCACCGGCCAACTGACCAGTCGATGGTTTCTTTTTTACCTTGAAACGTTTGAGTGCTTTGACTAAAATGGAAATGAAACAATTAAACAAGGCTGAAATAGAAATCAAACTCGGCATTATAAAAAGTATCAGACAACTTACGGGGATCATCGAGCCGAGAGATATCGTCATACAAAACAATTCGGGCGTGATTGACCAACTCACGGTCTTTTATTATGCGTCGAGCACTATAAGTACACTTATTCAATTCCTCTACAAGTTTTTCGAAGTTCTTGGATCGAGACCTTTTATTTTGTTTAACCTTCGTGCTTATCCAATTATTTGCATAAGGATAAGCACCGACGGGAGGGCGGATAAAAATGAATTTCGACTTCCACTCCGGGATATTTGAGGAGAGGTCGTCAAGAAAAGTAACGCCGGAATGACGGATTAGACAATGAGCCCCCTTTTGAAGATGATAACGATAACAGTAATGAAAAAATTCGGCAGAGAAAAAACGAAGAACTATACGAGAGACAACGATAAAAGCTATCATGATACAGAGAGCATTTGGAGAAAACTGATTTATCGGGATATTGTACAGATCACTTATCTCCAAAAGCTCGACTTGGATGGAAAAGCGGAGGCCAAAAATGACTTGGTCAGCGAAAAAAGTATGACAACCCTGCGGGGGGCAGGTGAAGTCGCTGTCAGGGCCCGGAGAAACTAACTCCCAATCGGAGGGAAGCCCGCTGAACTGCCTAAAGCTCTCGACTTGAGCCATGGAAGCATAAGAAAAGGGGTTTAAAGTAGCCAATTTGGCCAGAGGGCAGGCTATGGATACAATCTGACGAGGGTCGACAAGAGGAGTAATTATTGACGTAGGTACAGGGCTGGTACTATACACAGAAATATCTAACAACCTAAGGGGAATACCTCGAGGAATCAAGTCGAGACGAGGAGAGTTTCCATGAGGACTCCTTGAGACCTCTACTAGACCACCATCTAACAACGCCTGATCATACTCAGCCCAATCAACCTTCGGGGTCGAAGTGCGCGATGAAGAAGGAGAAATGTTAACCATCTTATAGCCGACTATCTCGACCGAGCTGGAGTCAGATTGGTCGAGGCCTCTATCGATCAATTTGTCGAGTGTGTCAGGCGAAGAACCGAAATCGGAAGCTAGAAGAAAAAGAATCAAAAAGCAAAGATCAGGCAGGACGAAATAAAATCAACCAAGGTACAGTCGACTCAGTTAAGTCGACGGAAGTACAAAAAGGAAGAAGACGGATGTTGGAAAGAATCGACTTGATAAAGCCGACAACTGGTTGCGGACTATAGCCCAGCCACACGTTAACAGCTAACTAAAATAAAAGATGTGTGCACAAGATTCAACACCAAATCTTCGAGAAAAAAATTCGAAGAACGCAAAGAACACGAAGAACACCCAGAGATGTAAAAAAAAAAAAAACTCAAAGAACCCAGAAAAACAAAAGAATAAAGAATAGAATATTAGAAAGAATAAGCACTTACCGATGTTGCTCATGATGACCCGAAAGATTGATTCAAAACGCCGGGATAACAGGGAAGGTCGCCGGAGAAGCTCGGACTATCAGGTCGCCGGAGTTGCGAAGAAATTGGGTAGAAGTGAAAAAGGTTTAAAGGAGAAAGTCAATCATACTTATAGAAGATAAGATAAATTTTAGCCGTTGGATTGATAAGGAAACCAACGGTCGTGATGAGGCACAGGATACGAGGAGTCAGCGGTTGACGGGACGCGCGTCACTCATAGGATTTAAAATTCGAAATTTCAAAGAAAACAAAAGAGCGCCAGCGTCAGATTCGCCTTGAAAAAATAGCCATTAACAGAGAGAATCAGACATTCCAAAGACGGGAAGAAGTGACGATCGACCCCTCTTCACATCGATTGAAGTGCGATTACCAAAATATATCGAATTTTTCAAAACGGCTATATAGCCGGCTAAATCAAAAAACTTGAAGTTCAAAAGCTAAGAAGCCGTTGAAAATTATTGCTCGACTTCGACCAGCTCGCAATAAGGGTTGGGAGAAGTCGACTCGATAAACTTGAAGTTCAACAGCTAAGAAGCCGTTGAAATTTATTGCTCGACTTCGACCAGCTCGCAATAAGGGTTGGGAGAAGTCGACTAAAAAAAAAAAAAAAAACTTCAGGTTCAACAGTTGAGAAGCTGTTAAAAATTGTTGCTCGACTTCGACCAGCTCGCAAAAGAGGTTGGGGGGAGAGGATGAATTACAGTACTTAAGAAAATCCCACATGATATAACAAACACAAACATCGAAAAACACAGTAAAAAAACTAATCGTTATTGCTTAACCACAAGAATCGACAGAGCACAAACAAATGGCGAGTTGAATAAGATAGCATTATATTAATAGAAAAGTTTTTACATCCGAGGCCTCCTCAACCTTTACATCAGAAAATAGGTTGAGAAGGCAAAAGGAAAAATAAAAGATAGAAAAGATACAAACGAAGCGAACCAAATAATGAAAAATATCAAGTCCCGACTTCCCCATCTGCAGCAGTCTCCGTCCCCTGCCGCTCAGCTGGTTTCTCGACCTCTATTTCCTCGTCGACCGGTTCCTCATAGTCAGCCCCACTCGGCTGGACCAGCTCTGTCGGACCGGCTAGAGGAGAGGGAGGGACTTCGAGCAGAGAAGAGAGCCCGGCTGCATGAATAGCCTTAGCTTCGAGACCAGCCCACCACTCACGACCAGGAATGAGTTGGAAGCCGACGGGATCGGGGAGAGTCTCCTTCACCCCCTCTCGGTCGATCTTGCCAGGAAAATCGGGCTGGACCACGGCCTGTTTCCACGTATCACAGGCAAAGTCAAAATACTGGACCGCCGTGGGAACTAGCTCATCGAGAAAATCGGACGAACTACA